AAGTTATATGCACGGAATCCCAGGGATTAGGGTCGCCAAATTGAGGTGGTAAAGGAGGTAGCTACGGCTGCTGGTATGACTATAAACGTGGGGAAGGGTGCGCAAATCCACTATGATCCGCACGCAAGGCAGGACCCGGATTTGGAAGAAGGTGGAGGTGGTGGTATAGATTTACCAATGCTGGCCCCTACCGAAGCCTATAAGTACCTGGGAGTGGAGCAATGCCTGCTGGCTACGGATCGGGCTATCGAGTGATCAATCGGTGATCAGCCTGACCTTCCTTCCCGAGCTAATAAACTTTTACTTTTTCCGCTAACAAAGATAAGAGGTACTTACCAGAAGCAGCTTTTTGTAAAGCTATGTTTGCATCCGATAGTTGCCTTATCTGTTCACGTAAATTGAAATTTTCTTCACGTTCATGCGCCAATTGCCTTCTAAAATGCACGCAAAAAAAAAAACTCGCAAAATTTCACAGATTTTACAGAACAATCTTTTTTTTTTTCATCAGTGATCATGTTTCGCATCCGTACGTCACTGTCTTCAGCAAAATAATGTTAAAAGGGAGAGTTCGGTCCCATCGATCTGATATTTTGAAGACGATGGTGACACTCAAAGACTATAACAACCGTAATATAATCGATAATTCCGAAACTCTACAAAACATTGCGCTTTCTTAGAATGCTTGAAATTCAAAAAATGGAAATTTTCGAGAAAATTTCATAAATTTTTCAAAATAACTCACTTCAAATCAGCGAAACTTTCATCGACCATTGTTTCTGCTGCTGCTTGATTCAAATTCAAAATTCGATTAACAACATTATGCGAAATACCCACTGTCCTGTACTCCTCCGGTATTTCGTCGCGTTCAATTCGAATTACCTAGCAGAAAACTTTTTTAGAAATATGTTCCAGCAAAATACTCCAAAAAATTTTCACATATTCTAGCAATTTAACAAAGAATTGTGAATATTGGAAATCATCGTTTCCAGTCGGCAAGATACCTCATTTTGGCTTAAGAATGATAACATACAGGACGAAGTGCTGATGCTCAATTCACACACCAAGGCCATCCCAAAATGGCTAAAAACCCCAAAACGGCTAAAAAATGGCTGAAACCGCAAAATGGTTACCCAAAAAATGGCTAAAGCTTCAAAGTGGTTACCCCAGAATGGCTAAGAAATTGCTAAAACCGCAAAACGGTTACCCCTAAATGACTAAAATAGCAAAACAATCACCTGGAAATGGCTAAAACTCCAAAATAGTTACTCCAAAATGGCTAAGACCGCAAAATAGTTATCCTGAAATGGCTAAAATCCCAAAATGTTTATCCAAAAATGGCTATAAAATGGGTAAAACCATAAAATGGCTAAAACCGCCAAACGGTTACCCTCAAATGGCTAAAACCCTAAAACGATTAACCTTAAAACGGGTAAAAAAATGGCTGGGACCCCAAAACGGCAACCCTTAAAACGGCGAAGACCGCAAAATGGTTATTTCTAAGCAGCTAAAACTACAAAATAGTTATCCCAAGATGGCTAAAAAAAAGCTAAACCTGCAAAATGGTTCCTCCACAATGGTCAAAATCCCAAAACTTTAAGAGAATTCTTTCAGGTCATGAAATGAGCGTTAGGATCGCTAGCAGGCTGACCATCAGCTGTTACAGCCAATTATCAAATGACCAGCTGCTGCGCCGGTGCATATATATATATATATGTACACGTATATATATATGTATGTATATATATATAATTCCGGGATTAATGGAACATCCATTTATCCTAACTTAGTACTCAAAAGACGGATTTAAT